CAAGCCCTTAAAATAATGGTTTGTACAACTGCTGATAACTTTGGTGAGATTTCTGTGATTGAGGCTACAGAACACTGCATATTCTGTATCGAAAATCTTGAATGCACTTTCGAATTGCAAATGGAACACTTCTACGGTAAATAGTGTTCCGTCAGTAAAAGATCCTTTGAAAACAGAGCCACAACTTCCTCTGCCAAGCAATTTACTATCGCTGAACCAATCAGTTGCACATTGGAGATGAAATTCTTTCAAGCATTAAATTAGGTTGTGAATCAGCTTGAGTTCGACCCTGTCTACTTCGACCAAACTGTAAAAGCTTCTTCCAAAGCATACGGCTTTGTGCCAAACTTTTCATTTTTTGGAACGGAAGAAGCCTTACTCCATAACTGTGAGGGAACAGTAGCCGACAAATGATTTGGTCCGATTTTGGTGCCTACGATAGATGTTATTAAGTCCCCATTCGATAGTCATTATTTTGAAAAAAATGAAGTTTTGAATAGTGATTTTTTTGAGAATGTATTGTTAAATAGTAGAAAAGAATTTTGGATTTACGTGTAAAGTATTTTATTTTATAAATGTATAGTTAAAAATGAGTATGAAAATTTAAAAGTTGTTTTTTTTTTTTTTTTTGATATTACTTAACTTTTCAAAATATTTTCCAACTGCTATTGAACTTTAAATATCCAACTTGCCACTGAACTTACCAAAATATTATACATCGAAAACTTCTTCAAGTCCGTAACTTTTTTCAAACGGTGAGGGATGTAAGGGTAGATGTAATAATATTTTGATACGTACAGTGACAACTTGAATAGATTTTAATATGACAACTGAAAATATTTCAAAAACTTTCCGTGGCATTTCAGAAATATTTCAAAGTTCAAAATAGGAAACATTTTGTTAAAATCATTTCGCATGATTTTTGAAAAGTCGAAAGGAGTATTTGAGATTCAAAAGCTGCTTTTGAACCCGTTTGTCTAATCTTATGAAGTGACTTCTTCTAGTTGAAAATTTTTAGAGAAAGTTAATCCAATTCCTTTAAAAATAATTTCAGAATAAAAAGTTTTTTTAAAAATTAATTTTCAAACAAAATAAGGTAACTTCCACTCCGAAAACTCTTCTGCATAGACCAAAAATAATGCACATGGGCCCAGTTCTTAGCCGAAGTCCAAATATGCCAGGCCCTAGTCTTTATATTATACACCTCTCGTGGTCAACGTGGACGCCTCTACACCTTAATTTAATCGAAAAAAGGCAAAAAATTTGCATCAAAAATATTTATAGAGTTCTTATGTAGGTTGATTGTTGAGTGAGAGTGGATTGACAGCAAAATGGCTTGTAGCGGTTGCTATTCAGTGAATTTCATGGCCGTATCCTCCAATCCAAACAAGCCCTTAACTTCATCTACTCTCCTCACTTCAAAATTATCTTCATCCTACTCGCAAATCCCCTTTTCCTCTTTGAATTTTAATTCAAAATTATCCCGAATCCAGTTGCATAAATCAAACACTGCTCCAAATTCTTTCGTGAGTGTGTATCATTTTTTTATGGGTCTTCTTTTTTGAGTTTGAAATGAATATTTAAGCTGAACTTGTTAATTTTTTTTATTTTATTTTTTGGGGAAATTTTGATGCTTTGAAAAATCTGAAATAGGTTGTGGTGTCTGGGATTAAGGCAGAGCCATTGAAAGTAATGATATCAGGAGCTCCTGCTTCTGGTAAAGGAACCCAATGCGAGCTCATTACTAAGAAGGTGAATTTTATTTTATTTTATTTTTAATTTTTATATAGTTTTAATTAATTTAATTATTTGTTTTTTGCTACTTTTAGTGCTGTTAATGGCAGTCGAAATCGATATTTATGGTGGGTGTTTTGGGGCTACTTATATAGGCTGATTAATTTGAATGAATTGATTTATAAAATGCATCAAAAGGTTGATGCATTTTTTGTACTCTAATGAAGGATCGTGTTCATTGTTAAAGGTTATGTCATTTTGAATTGCATCTTTTAAATGAAGAGTTATTTCTCTTCCAAGAGTCGCAACCATTCAAAGAGACATCTAAAAGAGACAACCTTTGTGGAAGGGCATGTAAGGAACCCTCGGCCAAGAATTCGATACACGTCAAAGTTCCATTGAGAGTTTGATAGCCAATTTTGTGGAAACTGCAGAAACGTACCTCGAAATCTTCCTTGTATGTTGAAAATGGCATTCAAATAGCATTATGACATAATTGGATTTGTACATTCATGCCAAGAGGATTGATTTGGTACTTGTGGATATGTTTAGATTGAGTACATGTTCGAATGTGGTCGTTTTTTTTTTTTTTTTTTTTTTTTTTTTTTTTTTTTTTTTATTTTTTTTTTTTTTTTTNGGATCAATGGTTAATTTTGGTTTTTTACCTTTAAAAATGTGATTGAGGCCCTGTTTGAGCCAAATTATTATAGAATGAGAATGAAAAATATAGTCGTTATTGGGCCAAGGGATAGAAAATTTGAATTTAAATATTGATATGATGGATAACGGTCATATTTTTCATTTTAATGAGATAATAATGTAGATCAAACGGGGCTGATATAGTATAGTTTATCTTTAGGATGAAAACAAAATACAGTATATAAACTTTAGCCCCATAAACAGTTGGTTTGATCGGAAAATTCGATGATGACGTGAAGCCAATATACATTTTCCAAAAATTAGCTAAATACAAGGATGGTGCCTGGCATGGAAAACCCCAGGGATTCTTGTGTAGTAATGAACTCATAAAAGATTTTATTAATAGCACATTGATTTTGATTTAGGATCAGTATAAATTTAAAAACTGACTCAACACTAAACAAGCAGCAATCATATTAAACAGTGCAGCCAATCACACTCAGTATCTGCTTTTTTTTAAAAAAAACTTCGTAGGAAGAAAATATTTTTGGTTGGCAGAAAACAGTTTGCTTTTTTGAGGTTATGCCTGGTGTTTTTGTCTTCTTGCATTTTAAAGTTTTTGTTTTCCTGGACCACTTCAAAGAGCATGGATTTGAATGATATATGTCTTTGTCCTTTTATTTCTTTATTTTCAGATTTTTTGTGCCATAATGTCACACCAGGCTACTTTTTTATGTTATAATCCAAAGTGCAGTACGATTTGGTGCACATTGCGGCTGGAGATCTTCTCAGGGCTGAAGTTGCTGCTGGGACAGAAAATGGGAGGCGAGCGAAGGAATGCATGGAGAAGGGGCAGTTGGTCCCAGATGAAATAGTTGTCACGGTAGCTTTATATTCGTACTTTTTATTGTTTCTCTTAGAAATAATATTCAAACTATCAATAAAATATTAGTTAAATGAAAATGGATTAGCATCTCTCTATGGTTGTAGATGGTCAAGGAGCGTTTGTCACAACCAGATTCTCAAGAAAAAGGCTGGCTTTTGGACGGATATCCAAGGAGCTCGTCACAAGCGACTGCTCTTAAAGGATTTGGCTTCGAGCCACACATTTTCATTCTTCTTGATGTGAGGTTCTGCTATTGCTATCTGTACTTAAGGATTAATTAATAATAATATAAAAGTTATCATCTTAAGAACCGAGAGCTAGCATGATCTTTGTCTAATTAATATTTGCTTTTTGCCAGTTACAAGATCGAGAAATTTGACTTCACTTTTTGAACAATTTGTTGGCTTTGTCTTGATTGAATTAGTAGTCATAAAATGTGAGTATAATAAACTCTTTTTCCTCTACAGGTCCCTGAAGAGATCCTAGTTGAGAGAGTAGTTGGCCGCAGACTAGATCCCGTCACAGGGAAAATATATCATCTAAAGTATTCTCCCCCTGAAACTGAAGAAATTGCTGCTAGGCTTACTCAACGCTTTGATGACACCGAAGAAAAGGCATGCTTCATTTTACGTCCGTATCTTGAAACATGACTTTGATTTTGTTTGGTTTTACTTATCCTCCCTTTTTAGATACTCGGCCTTTGCTTGTGTGGCTTTCAGGATATATCTAAAATGTATATATATTCTTATGTGTTTGTGCTAGGTCTTTATAATAGATTTTCCATTTCAGGTAAAACTGCGTTTGCTCACACATAACAAAAATGTGGAGGCCGTGCTTTCAATGTATGAAGATGTAACAGTCAGGGTATGAAATATGTTTTTTCCTTCCCTTTGTAATGCATTTTTTCCTTGACAGAGCACTAAAATGTCAAATAGATTATTGACTTGTGAATATAGAAAGTAAATTTTCCTACCAAGATCGTCATTTTAACTCTTTTACACAAGCAAATTGGCATTAAAGCTGGTTTCTGCTTTCTATATTTCGTATTAAGCATGTCTGCGCATACAACGTTGTCAAGCTTGAGGTTAATTTTCCTACTTTGGCTCAAGTGGGGTAAATGTTCCAAAGAAAATTTCGGAAAATTGATTTAGCGCTTGTTTAGTAGTGCTTATTAGCTGTGGCTCCGATGGAATGTGTGTAGTAAGTTGTGGGCTTTATGAAATGTGTTAATAAAAAGTAAATTTGACTAGCTTAAATTTTAATTTAAGCTTTGCCAAACATGCTCTCATAAACTTGGTTAAGCACCAGTCAGCGCGTCTCATGGTCGTATTTTACTATTTTACAATAATTGTTTATTTGTTATTATTATGGGTTTTCTTATATATTAATCGTGTCAGTTGCTGCCTCAGTTTCTTGCCTATATTTTCTCTTCCTTAGTTTCCTCTTTTTGCTCCCCCTTTTCTCCATTCTCTTTATCACTCATGAACCAAAATCATAGTTTCTAGCCCAAGTCATAGTGCTTGTGATTGTGGCATTTTTTTAGTTCAGAATACTAATGCAATCGCACATGCATCTCCCTGTGTCAAATCCCACTTGTTTACAGATCTGCTTAAAACCTTTTCGCTCACAAATGTTGAATTTTAGGGAAGTTGAAACTTCGCCCCTCTTATATTTAGGCTCTCATTGAGGTAGTTGAGTCCATCTTCCTTCTGCGGCACACATATATCTAGCTCAGTAAGCTTAGTTAAAAATAAGTTTAAAACTTCTCTTGAAAGTGAATAATGGTTCTTTGTGGTTGATATTTTGGAATAAACATCGGTTTTGAGGGGAAGTTTTCAGCATATTCTTCCCCTTGCACTCCACTGATTGTTCACATGGTTGTTTTATGGGACGTGAACCAGATTAACGAGTCATTTACTGGAAACAGTATAACTATCCTATTATTGCTACCACTAAGTAAATTAATAACATGTTTGTAAGTGCTTTTAAGTACTATAAGTCATGGATTTTGCGAAATGTACAGATAATAAGTAGGTAGTAAGCTGTGAGTCTTATGAAATGAGTGGATAAAAAGTATGTTTGACCAGCTTAAATTATAATCTAAGTAGTGCCTAACGTTCACTAAGTTATCTGTTTCTAAGAAAGTTGATATCGTAAATACCTATCAAAAAAAAAGAAAGTTGATATCGTAATGCAAACTTGGAGCTAAATAGCATCTTCCTCACCCTATCACTTCCAAAGAACCTTATTTTTCTACGGTTGCAGGTGGATGGAAGTCTTTCCAAGGAGGACGTATATACCAAGATTGACACCGTGTTGAGAAATGTACTTGGACAGAGGCAGGCTGCAATAGGTTCAGTGGCAGTGTGAAACATCAAAGAAATCCAAAAGGAAAAGGTAGTCTAGATCAAGGAGGATGCCGATGGGCAGGGTGGATGGAGAAGGATGTTATTAGCATCGAGATGATTAGTTTTACTCGTGTTTCCTTGTGACATGTTTGGTAAGCTGGACTATATTGATGGATTGAAAAAGAAAAAGGTGTTAAAATTCTTTCTTTTATATCGTTCACTATCTATATTTTGTGCTAAACATGTTGATGGAATTTATCTCCCCTTTTCATACCGATATATGGATTGGCATCAATTGTGAGTAAACGTATAGAAAAATACTCGATGTACATTAATGTAATGCTTGATTTTACTTGCTTCTAGTTTATTGCCCTCGAGTCTTTCTACTATCATATAAAACTGGATTTATTGAGGCGATGGCATTTTACAGGCATATCGACTGCCTAGACTTTGACTGCCGCCTCTATTTGTGTTGGTCTAAGCTCTGAGTTGATCAGTAGATGGGTTCATCGGTGTTCCCCATCCGACCGGGACACAGCTGGCTGGTTTGGAGTTACTCTTTCCGACACTAGAATCATGTGCCACTACTAGTGCCTGATCCTTACATGAATTAGTGCTAAGACAGCCCTAATTTAATTTCTTGATTATTTAACTTTCGATTTAACTCTATGACCTTTTATTTTATTTTTTAATATATGAGCCTGGTTGAAAAATATGCAATTGCTTATTTTCGAGGCGTTTAACGTTAATATTCTCTTACGACATTTCATGACATGTTGGGTAGCTGATACATAAATTATACACAACTCGTAAAATTTGTCACGTCTCTTTTTCTTAAACCAATCAACTAACGTACCAAACATATCATCCCTAACTTATAATACCCAATTAGTGATGTCTAGTATGTTTTTTTTATTTTAAAACTTGCATATTCACTTATAAGTGACTTCTTCAAGCTTGGCCAAACATGCTCTTTAAGTGTTCACAAATTAGTTCCTGAACCGGCACGCCATCATCATATACCATGAAAACCATGAATAACTTGAACCCAGATGTCAATGTGCAGCAATCTACAACACAAGTAACATCCAGTGAGTTAAGCTTCAAGATATTCCTATATTCGGTGGGGTCAAACCAATCCGACCTCAGAATGATGTGGGGTTTATCATCCTTGAATTCTAGTAAGATTAGATAAGCATTGTACTAGGATCAAGATTCTTTTCAAGAATCCCTTTCAACTCCGGGACAGGATCTGCTGGATGCAGATCGAATTTCACCATTTTTTGGGCTCGTCAGTTATCGAGCATGCTCCTAAAGATCGAATGCAAATAGGAAACATTCAAAGGAAAATGAGAGGCAAAGACAAAGGCGAGAACGGGTAGGGAGAAGCATATTAACGCTTAGGGTTAGCAATCGAATCAAAATAGAAATCCACAACATTTACAACAGCAGGCAAAAAGCTCGTAAGATCTATAGCTGGACAAGAATGTACTTCTAACAAAGCCACAACAGAGTCGAGATTAACGTTAAATTTATAAAGAGGAGAAAGGAAAATGATGCCACATCTTGATATGTGTGAGCGTCGTAAAGCAGAAACATGCTAACAGGTGCTCTAAACTTTTGATATCTCATCTGTGCAGGCCAAAAAAAGGGGAGCAGGTACACTTAAGAACCCGTTGCCCCGGGGAAAAGTTCTGATATTTTATTGAAAACGTCCATAACCTGAGACGAATAGCGAGTGACCTTCGCATTACTTCCAATGTGAAAAATAAACAGCAAAAGGCTTAATGCAAAAGTGAAACAAAACAGACATTCATGCTGATGAAAAAAGAATTATACAAAGATTCACAATAACTTTCGACTTACCTCTTTGTCGTTTTGATACTTGGCAATACTCAGAGGATTCTGAGAACACTGCAAAAAGGAACAGTTGTCCCGAAGTTCAGTAAGATAATTATACAAAATCAGACTTTCACCTTGATTGGAGAGTAAAATCCCAGCAGGAAGTAGAAGGCGAGTAGGTCCACTATCTTGCTGGGAAACCGCATAAGAAAATGAAAAATTTTAATGGAAGGCAAAAGGACGAGAAGCTACTTACATCCATGATAGCTGCTTGAACTCGGGGATTTTGGAATGCCATAGCTACCTCAGGATTGGCCATGATTTTAGAAATGACTTCCTCAGGCGTAAGCCCTATCTGATCTGCAAGATATAACAGGCGAGAAACAATAAGTTCACGTCTGGTGGTGAACACGGCTCGACAATATAATAGACGAGATTTGACATTGTAAAAAGTATTCAAGGATAGTAGAAAGTCTTGTGTATAGCATGTGTAGGATATTTATGTAGTTAGCCATATCAGTTGGAGTTAATTAGAATTGCTGAGCTGTCATTTCTACAGCTGTCCATTCACGTGTACATATGTATTGCTTTATTCATTTCTTCAGAATAACGGAATCACATTTTCCTCATGCTCTCCCTCTCCTTCAGTTTACAATAGATATTTTCTCTTCATCCTATTGTAAAATTTCTCATGGTATCAGAGCAATAACAAAGCTTCCGACTATGGCGGCAATAATAAATTATGGGGTGAATGCATCTTAACAGCTACCTACCTCATTAATCACACCCCTAGTTCATCCTTATCAAATAAAACACCTTATGAGATCTTATTTTCAATCAAACCTGTTTACTCTAACCTGAGGGTCTTTGGCTCTTTATGTTATGCATGCACTCTTCAAAGACACGGGTCAAAATTTGATCCTAGAGCCGTTCCATGTATATTTGTTGGATATCCTACAACTCAAAAGAGATACAAATTATATAATTTGCATACCAAAACCATTTTTGTATCCAGGGATGTCATCTTCCATGAAACCATATTTCCATTCCATGATTATGCCTTCCTGACTTCTCTTAGCTATTCTGATGTTGACATCAGCCTTCACATCATCCTTTGTTTCCTTATTCTCATTCTCCTATATTAGATAGTCCACCAGCTACCATTTCCCCAATGTTATCTTCAGTCCCAATCTCCACTCCGTCTCCTGCTTCAACCTCATCTCCTGATTCTAATTCACCATCGCAAGTACCCTCAAATATGTCTTTACCTTCGTCTACTTCTATACCTTCATCTTCTCCACAATTGCCTATCAATCACTCTCCCAGGAGATCAACTAGATCTAGGAGACCTCCCAAGTACTTACAGCAGTTTCATTGCAACCTTGCTTCCCAAAACAGCAATCTTTCTTCACCTAAAACAGCAAATTCCTATGGAATATCCAACATTTTGGGTTATGATTGACTTTTAGCAACTCACAAGGCCTATTTAATGTCACTTTCCACCAATGTTGAGCCTAGAAATTTTATGGAGGCATCCAAATCTCCAGCTTGGTGTCAGGCTATGGATAAAGAATTTCAGGCTTTGGTTGAAAATAATACATGGCCTGTTACTCCATTACCAGAAAATAAATTGTGTGTGGATTGAAAGTGGGTATATAAAATTAAACTCAATCAAGATGGGACTGAGGAGAGGAAGAAAGCCAGGCTTGTGGCCAAGGCCTTCACCCAACAAGCAGGCCTTGATTATCAGGAAGCTTTTTCCCCGTAGCAAAGTTGGCTTCAGTTAAGGCATTGTTGGCAGTTGCAGCTAGCAAGAACTGGTTTCTACATCAGCTTGACATAAATAATGCATTCCTTCATGGAGACTTAGATGAGGAGGTTTACATTAAGTTCCCTCCAGGGCATGAACAGCAGGGGAAGCATGGCGAGACATTAGTCTGCAAGCTGAATAAATCAATTTATGGGCTCAAACAAGCCTCGAGGCTATGGAACACCAAGTTGTCATCTTTCATTGTTTCTCAAGATTTTGTGCAATCAAAATCTGATTACTCTCTTTTCAGCAAACGATCAAGCTGCTCCTACACTATGCTTCTCATATACGTAGATGATATCATCATAGGGGGAAATGATTTGGTCTATATTGAACAGTTTAAAAGGAGTCTTGACTGCCAATTCAAGTTAAAAGACTTAGGAGTTTTGAAATATTTTCTAGGACTTGAAGTAGCAAGGTCCAGAAAAGGGATTGCCATTTGTCAACGGAAATATGCATTAGATATACTTGAAGATGCTGGTTATTTAGCCTCAAAACCTGCAAAATGTCCTATGTTACAGAATCTGAAACTTAACAAAGATGAGGGGGAGTTACTGAGCAATCCAGGAATGTACAGGAGATTAATTGGGAGGTTACTATACTTAACCATTACAAGGCCAGATTTGTCATTCTCAATACAAATTTTGAGTCAATACTTAGAGTCTCCAAGAAAGCCTCATCTGCAAGCAGAACATCATGTGCTTCGATATGTCGAAGGTACACCAAGGCAGGGATTGTTCTTTGCAGCAGATTCAAGCCTGGAGCTCAAAGGTTTTTGTGATGCAGATTGGGCATCGTGCACAAATACTAGGAGGTCAGTTACAGGCTTCTGTATATTCCTTGGAAGTTCTCTGATATCCTGGCGCTCAAAGAAACAACACACCATCTCAAGGTCTTCAGCTGAGGCTAAGTACAGAGCCATGGCTGCAGCAGTCTGTGAAATGATTTGGCTTAAGAAAATACTAAATGATCTGGGAGTTGATCATCCTAAGGTTGCTCTCTTATTTTGTAACAATCAAGCAGTGATTCATATAGCTAGCAACCCAGTTTTTCACAAAAGGACAAAACATATTGAGCTAGATTGTCATTTGGTAAGAGAAAGGATACAATCAGGTGACGTAAAAACTATGCATTTGTCCACACAGAATCAGCTTGCAGATTTGTTGACAAAGGCATTAGCAGGAGCTAGATTTCACATGCTTCTTGGCAAGATGGGTGTTACATCCACCAGCCATCTTGAGGGGGAGTCTTGTGTATAGCATGTGTAGGATATTTATGTAGTTAGCCATATCAGTTGGAGTTAATTAGAATTGCTGAGCTGTCATTTCTACAGCTGTCCATTCACGTGTATACATGTATTGCTTTATTCATTTCTTCAGAATAACGGAATCACATTTTCCTCATGTTCTCTCTCTCCTTCAGTTTACAATAGATATTTTCTCTTCATCCTATTGTAAAATTTCTCAGAAAGTAATTTTATCTCACGGCAAACAGTGAAAATTTTAATATTATCAATTCTATATTAGGTTAGGCATACACAGCTAAACTTAAATCACAGTAAAACTCACCAAACTGTTGCTTAATCTCGGGACTGCTAAGATCAAAACTTTTCAAGGAGTCCATCATGCGGTTGTCCCATTCTGGGCTTCCACCCATGTTATTTCTGTGAATATATAACCAAAAAGATGATACATAATTAGGATCAAATCAATAATATCATGAACATTTACACCTTTGTATATATAATAAAAGCTAAATATTTCTGTGTAATACGTATACTGGGATATTTTATACA